TTTCCCTCTCTGTCACATGTAGGTCCTCTGACATTTCACTACACCACATGAAAATAACTGCCCATCGCCAGGACTTCAGTGATAAGCCTAGCCACACAGAGTTAATTCTGGGAGCAGAGAGGTAAATATCTGACTCTTTAGGCGGAGACCTCTAACCCATTTCCCCAAAGGAGGATACCCATAGTCCCCTTCGGAAATGTACTTTGCATGCTTGTCATTTATGTACAGGAATGCAACGTGAAAACCCCATCAGCAGGACGTGTGTTTTCAGTTGTTTGATTTTCAGACCTGTATGTGGAAATAGGTTTGTTATGATCCATCTCTATTCTCATTCACTCGGTTTTTCAAGAATACAAGGGGAAAGCTGGATTAGAATTATTGGCCTTGGGACCGAAGGAGGAAAACAGCCTTATGTAGAAATCCATGCTTCGACCATTGGAACCATCAAAATGAGCAATTCCAATTTTTTTAACTATTATTTCACAAATATTTTATGTGTATGATGAGACAGGAGTGGGGAAGGTAAGAAACGGTTGCTTTGTTATCATTAGTATCTATTAATGTAGGCTTTTGTGATCTCTGGGTAAATCCTTTTTGTCCACTTTATGTTTAAAAGGCAAATACTATGGTGTGTGGGCCAGGGTGGGGAGGGGGGCTAGTTTTAATGTTTTAAATAATTTGAACAAAAAAAAGACTTTAAAAAGATCATTTGTGGGACCATCAGTTAGCATAATGGCTATGTCGCTGAACTCCCATGTAGTCGACCACAGATCGAGTCCCAGACCCGGTGGCTTAAACTCACACCAGGCACGTGTGCGTGCGTGCCCAAGATCCTGAGAGGAGAATAGAAGGGACTGCGGCGTGACCAACCCCCCTGGGGGTGATTTCTTGCTTTCTGTCTCTCTGTCTCTCTCTGTCTTTCTGGTGAGCACATGCGCCCTATAGCAAAAACCTCTCCAGAAAAAAAAAAATATCATTTGTTGGTATTTCATCATTTTTGCCCTTCCATTGGCCCATTGACTAGTACTGTCTGCTCTTAGGGCCATGTTAGGTGGCTACTTAATTCCAGAGTCCTCAAATTTATTGAGCCCAGCTTGGTGCCTTCAGGCAGGTAAGGAAGGCGTTATTGTCCTCACTTTACAGGAAGGGCCATTGGAAATCCCACAAGTGAAATGATGACTTACGGGCCTGTGGCTAACAAACAGAGGACAAGAATCTGCTCTGGGGCCCTGCAGCAGTATCCTCCCACTCCTTCACATGCTTCTCTGATAACAGCAACCCCATGGAGTACTCTGGCCCAGGCATTGTTCTAGTCCCCTCACCTGCATTCACCATTTACTGCTCACAACGCTTCTATTAGTACTATTACGGCCCTCATTTACCACATGAGGAAACTGAGGCAGAGAAGTTAAGCGAGTTGCCTGTGTGCAAGTGGCTGAGTGAAAAGCCGGGATTCCAACCTGGCAGCTACGTTTTTGAAACTCAGCTCTTAAGTTCCATGTTCTGTGGCCTCTCATTGACTCGGCCAGTTACCATCAAAGCCTCAGAGCTCTCAAGGCTGGGCTGAGTACAGGAGTGAGCAGATTCTGTCCAGCGGTAGGAGGCCTTCTGTTCAGACTGCACACACTGGTTTTCCTGGGTATACTTGGAGGTACCAAATTCATCTAGTGAGATTTCCTGCAAGATGCTAGGTAACCTGCCAAAATGTGGGAGTTTTGCGTCATCCCTCTCTATTCTAGCCTTTGCATAGAATCTACCATGCTATTAGAGTAGATAAACATAACTAATTATTAAAAAATATTAAGGTCTCTGATTCTCCTGCATAATGTAAAAGAGAAGGGCCTAGGAAATGCATCTCAGTGGATGATTTACTTGAGTTTGTAGTTTTGTGTTGTAATATGTTATCGTTTGATCAAATGTCCAGTAATCTGCCTATTTCTTCACAAAGAAATTGGACCAAACATGCATGTGGTACCAAGTCCTAGGTGGATGACAAAAGACCACGCATTAAAAGGGACTTTTTTAAAGAGGTTTTTGCTATAGGGTGTGTGTGCTCGCCAGAACAACAGAGAGAGACAGAAAGCGAGAAATCACTCCCCAGAGGACATGGCCATGCCATCTAGAACAATGCCTTATCCTTGCCTTCTCCTCCATTCTCCTCTCTGGATCTTGGGTACATACATGTACACACGCCCAATGTGAGTTTAAGTCAACAGGTCCAGGACTCAAACCGTGGTCGACTACATGGGAGTCCAGAGACATAGCCATTACGCCAACAGCTGGTCCCAAGGGGACATTTTTAAACATTATTTAATGGTGAAAAAAAAATAAAAAACAAGGGTACTGTTTTATGATGTGTGAAAATAATATGAAATTCAAATTTCAGTGTCATAAATTGGGCTTTATTGGAGAACAGCCTAGCCCATCATTACTTTTATAGATAAAGTTTGCTGATTCCTGATTTAGCTAAATGGAAATTCCTCTCTACTCTGTTTTAAGATACTTTATTTTGAATGCATTAATCTTAGATATGCACTTAAGCATCATTCTGGCAAACAAAACAGTTGGCTTCTTACAAAACAAAAACAAAAACAAAACAAGCAAAAGATATTGTTTTATAAATATAGTACCAAAAATTTAAAAATTGCGGAAGATAAGTTTTTAAATTGGTTTAGAGTCCCACATGACTTCTCACTGGCTAGCCACAGACCACCACACCACTGAATGGAAAGACCTCATACTATAAAACCAACATGCATTAAACATTTAGCAAAGGCCAGGTCCTATGATTGGTTTAGAGGATACACTGGAGAAAAAGAGAGAGAGTCCTAATGGAGTGACCTTTACTGGCAACTTGAGTATTAGTTCTCCTTTCTTTTTCTTTTTCTTTAGTTCTTTGCCATAGGGTACGTGCACACACAAGAGAGAGACAGAGAGAAACAGAGAAAGAAAACTAAGAAATCACCACCCAGAGGGGATGGCCACACTGAAAACCCTTCTCCTCCATTCTCTCTTGGGATTTTGGGCATGAACCTGGTGTGATTTTCATATGCACCTGGTGTGATCTTCAAGTCACCAGGTATGGGACTTGAACCACAGCCAGCCATGTGGAAGTCCAGTGTGTTAACCACCACGCTACTTGCTGGCCCTGTTTCTCCTTCTTTAAGAGACTGAAATGAAAGGATTTACTTTTTCCTCCCACCCCTATAGTCTACTTCCTATTTTACCAAACCGTACTGGAGAAGCAGATGAATACTTCTGACTTTTCTGACCCTTGACTGTCTTATTTGTTTTGTCTATGTTCTGTAAGCATAAGCTGCTTGAAGGGGCCTGGTTTATTCATTTAAAGACATCCTTTAGGGTCTGTGACTTAGGACCATGGTCACCAGTTGTGCTTATGACTGCATCTGGGATACAGCTACAAAACAGGTGTTGATCTCTTGTTGGTGTTGATCTCTTGGTGGTACTAATCTCTTGTTCTAAATCTTTAACCTACCATTTAATGAGGTGTCCCTCTGTCAGACACTAGCCTAAGTAGTAGTATCCTCTACAATAGCCCTATAAGACCAACACTGTGGTCTTTATTTAGAGATGTGAGAACTACAGATTTGGAGAGGTTTTAAGTGCTCTATCTATAGCGGAAACTACTCATACTTACTAAATATCCATTTGCTTTGCTGCATTTCCCAGCATTCCTCTCTAGTTTGTTTGGAGTCATATGACTGGATGTGGCCAATGGGAAGGGAGCAAAAACGAAGTAACCACTCATGACTCTGGTCCTTAAAAATATTTTGCATGACCCTCTTTTCTTTCCGGGTAAAGGAGCATGGAGGTAATGGATTCCAAAAGCTGTAACACGTAAGAGGGGGACTATACTACTGACCCATTGCCCAAGTGAGAAATGAACAATTTCCTGTTAAACTGTCCAAGATTTCGTGGCTTATTTATTACTGCAGCATAGCACTACCTAGTAGAATTGATTTGAACCCAAGTCACTCTGACTCCAAAACCCATGCTCTCAGCCACTGTGCCATCTTGTGTGAGGTACTGAGGCCATGGCCACTTTCTAGAAAAAACATTCTTGCTTTTTTAATACTTTGAGATCACTTTACATATTTTTTGAGAGGTTTTTGCTATAGGGCACGTGTGCTTGCCAGAGAGACAGAAAAACAAGAAATCACCCCCCCGAGGGGAGATGACCATGCCGCAATCCCTTCTCTTCCATTCTCCTCTTGGTACCTTGGGCACACATGCACACATGCCTGGCGTGAGTTTAAGCCACCAGGTCCGGGACTTGAACTGCAGTTGACTACATGGGAGTCCAGCAACATAGCCATTACACTAACTGCTGGTCCCAAACTAAGATTATTTTAAGCAACTGTTTTTGAAGCACTTTGAGAAAGAACTTGCTCTGCAAGACATTTTGGAAACCATATCATTGCATCTCCTCACTTTATAGATGAGAAAACAAAGGGGGAGAAAGGGTTGCCCAGGTCACACAGTAAATGATGGTAAACAAGAGGCCACGGTTTGTCTCCTGACTCTCAGATCTGAGTCCTAGAAACTCGGCCACAGAGGTGAAATTGGACACAGATCTGAGTCCTAGAAATTGATCCTCAGAGGTGAAAGGCAAGAACCAGCATCTCTCAATAACGACCCCAGCGTAAGTCCCAATGCTTCCTTGTTGAACATTAACTGGGTCAGTCTAAGGAAAAGGGTGGATGTTAGTCTCACTTAGAAACTACTTAAGACTTCCTGGAGTCCTCATTTTGACACCAAATACTCTGTAGAATCAAATATGATTTTTTTAAAAAATTGTTGGTTTGTTTATAAGTGGTTTTCTTCTTTTAAAAAACAGAGCTAAGGGGAAAAAGGGCTCCCACAATGTCTTGGCTCTCCGGCAGCTTTTACAAACAGCAGCAGCGTGATGAGAAACACATGGCCGACCAGTGCTGGCTGGATAGGTGGGGGGCTTTGCTGCCCTCCAGAGAAACGCAGGGCCAAGCCGCACTGCTCCTGGGGTCTCAGAACAAGGTCATCCCCTCTCCCAGCCTGAGTCAGCTGAGACTGGTGGCTTGTTGTGGGCACACCAGCAGGTCTCGCTTCAGGGGGCTGAGGTGCTGGCCTGGTAACATCTCCTGGGAGTTCATCGCAGCAGCTGTCCCTATCTCACGGTACAAAGGCATGTAAGGGGCACTCAGGAGACTGGAATGGCTGATGGTTTCACCACTGGGCCCTTACTCTGGCAGCCGTCTAGAGAAAGGCATTTGGATATTTTCTACCTGCACGTGCTTGGTGGTTGGGTCACTAACGTGGCAGGAATGTACTTTGTAAAGCCTCCTTTACACAACTACGGTCTGAAAAATGACACGGGCCAGAAGAAGCAGAGTTCAGGACAACCGATATGGGCAGAGAGGGGGACAGAAAGGAGTGCCCACACCCACCTTGGCCAGGCCCTGTGTGGATCAGGGAAACTTTTTAGAATCTCATGAAATGATGATCCTTCTCTAGAACAATGTGCCAGGTCATGTGAAGCACACTATTCTGGGGTCTCTGGGTCCTCCTTGGTCCCATTGTAGATGCAGACCGGGGCCCCCAGAGTTAGAGAAACAGTCCAGGAAGGACATAAGGGGATTTTGTGGGCTAATCAGGGGAGCTTGGTTAAAGTGGGTATGAAGAATTAGGAGCAGGAAGAGGTTCTGGGGTCATCCTTTCACAGAAAAGGGAACTGAGGCAGAGGGCAGAGAACAGACTGTTGCAGAGGTCACAGTGCATTATGTGGAGCCCAGACTCACACTTCCAGTCACCCTCATAACCACAGAGGGGACACTCTGTTCCTCCTGCTTCAATTTTCCATTTTCTAATGGCCCGAGCATCACTTCTAAAAGTAATTATTAGAATTTAACATCACCACAGACTTTCTTCCCTGGTCTCCCAGGCAGTCTAAACTCTAGTCATTGAAAACAGCATTTATGTTTTTCATATGGGACTGCAAACCAGTGCTAGCAATGATGTTGGGTCTCAGGGAAGGGTGGTGGATTCTTGGCTCCCTCTGGGCCCTTCGAGCAAAGTGGCTGGCTGCTATCCTGTTCAAAGATGTGTGTGGCTTCAGGCACTGGTGAGTCTGGGTGTTCTAGGTGGGGCTGGCCCACTGATTTAATTAATGCACTATTTAAAGTGTACACTCAGCGATTCCAATGGGCTGGAGGCAGCTTTCCATTCTCAGTATGAAAATAAACTATCCTAATACGGGTGACAAAGAATGCTTTTTAAGAATAAGGCAAGGCTGTTGAAGGCTTGATCAGAGTGCCACTGAAAGCTTTACTTTTTGAGCAGTAATTTACTAGATGTGAGATGTTGGGTGGGTTGCTTAGTCCCTTCAGGCTGCCCCAATTTTTTAAACAAGGACAATGACAGCACTTCCTTCAGAGGGCTGTTGTGAAGATGAACTGAGTCACATTGGCAAGTGTTATGAACAGTGAGTGCTTGACCACAGAGTGAGAGCTATGTAGGTCTTGATAAATAAATAAAACTTTAAAATAAATGCAAGTTGGTGATTTTTAGTTGTCAAATTCCACTTATCTTACCTACTATGTACGTCCTGAATTCTTCCTACTCGCTCTGCTCACTTCACTGCCACTGGTTTGGCTCGGTCCTTCAGCCCATCTTACCTGGACTCTCACCAACAAACTCAATTAGAAGTAATTGATTTCTCTATCTCTAGCCTTACCATCCTCCACGCTGCTTCTATCCCCTTAACTCTCAAAGCAAGTGTTAAAATGGACTTTCTAACTCCTTCTTTTAAGATAAATGTTTGCTATAGGGTATGTGCGCTCTCCAGAGAGACAGACAGACCAAAGGCGAGAAATCATCCCTTGAGGGGATGGCCATGCCACAATCCTTTCTCCTCCATTCTCCTCTCAGGATTTTGGGCACACATGCCTAGCATGAGTTTTAAGCTGCCCAGTCCGGGACTTTAACTGTGGTCAACTGCATAGGTGTCCAGTGATATAATCATTGCACCATCTGCTGGTCCCTCTAACTCCTTTCTTAAAACTTTTCAGTGACTACCCTATAGGATAAAGTCTATGCCTTACTGTATGTGTCATATTATTTTTCTTATATTTTTATACCTGTGATTGTTTTAGTCCCTGATTACAATATTCTACAATGAACCATATTCTATAATAAATTTACAAAATGTTGATAAATTTTAGAATTCATCCCTCTTCTCTTTACTCCTCTTTTCTATCAGTAGCAGCTTATCTACCCAAAAAGGATTTACAGCCTCTGGTCTATTCTCTCCCTGTACCTACCTTCAGAAGAGGAACTGTTCTTAGTCTCTCTCTTTATCTGTTTACTCATGGGGTCAGACAAGACTTGGTTTAATTTATGACTATTGGCATGGTTTTAAGACATCAGGTTACCCTCTCTTGGCTTATTTTTATTCTATCAGTATTTTTGGTTTTTTTTTTTTCAGCTCTTGTCCTGAAACGAGGGAGCGGTCACCCTTACTAAGTCTTTCAAACAAAGTGACCTGGAAAGGGAGGATTACCGGAGTGACAACCTTCCAGGGTTCCTAAAGTCAGTCTGTTTAGGAGGGAGTGATGGACCCCACATCATGGGTGATATCTATTCTCAAGAGAATTTAGTGGAGCCATTTTGAGATTGGTAGCTCTTTGGGGTTCCTAGGTTCTCTTTGAAAGGAGGATCCTGTGTTCTAGAATCATGAAGCTCCTTTGGAAATCTGCCTCTGTGCTCCATGTGGTTTCGGTATGAACCTTTCTCTTTCATTAGTTCCAGAAAGCAGCAGTTCATTACTTTTCAGGGGTCAAGGTCTCCTCCAGGAACTCCTCGATCTTATTGACGTCGGTCTTCACATCCCCGTTGAAGGTCAGGAAGGGTGGATGGGTGCCAGGGGCTAGGTTGTGCAAGTCGGCTGGCTTTCTGTAAAAAGAGAGAAAGATGCAGATATTAGCTTATTCTGGGGAGCTTCTTGTTCTTGGAAACCTAAGATTTATCATAAATTAGACTCCCCATGCTATGTAGCATGTCTGTCAGCAAAAATAATTTATAGTGTAGGATGTAGGGAAGGGAAGGTTGGAGAATATTCTGAAGGATTTGAGTAAGGTGACTGACTGCTGTTTGAGCCCTGGCCCCAGGGGCTTGAAAAACACTCTGGGTACATGTATGTACATACTTAAGTCCCTATAAGATGGATAAATAGAGAAGGAAGTGCAGTGTGATTACACCCTGTTAGGGAATGCTTTCTCCCTCTCTATTTGTCTGGGTCTCTGGTGAACACATAGCCCTCTCCTCTGGCAATTAAAAATAATAGCATACTGGGGGCCAGCAGATTGGGGTAGTGGTTACATCACTGGACTCTCACATGGCTGACCACAGTCAAGTCCAAGACCCGGTGGCTTAAAACTCACGCTAGGCATGTGTGTGTGTGTGTGTGTGTGTCCAAGAATCAAGGAGGAGAATGGAAGAGAGGGACTATGATGTGGCCATCCACCCTGGGGGGTGGGGAGGGAGTGATTCCTCACTTTCCTTCTCACTGTCTCTGTCTCTGTCTCTGGCAAGTGCATGTGCCCTTTGGCAAAAACCTCAAAAAAAAAAAAAGAGAAAAGAAAAGAAATAATAACATATATTGGATCACAATTTTAGCCTAAGAAATATCTTCAAACAAAAAAGTTGAGAGTTTACCTCATTTGTTTAAGTTAGACTATTCCTATGATGTATAACTTAAATTTTAATATCTAATAATTAATATCTAATATTGGTTAGTCTTTTCTAGACTCATCAGAATACTTTTTTGACCTATAAACAGGCTCTGATAAAGCCTTTGAGTAGATATGAAAATGAAATATATATGTGTGTGTGTGTATGCTTGAAAAGCAAAAGTATTCAATAGAGAAGATGTTTTCAAAAATCTTATTATTGCTAAGTTTCTAACACAGACACACTACAGGTCCTTGTGAAAACTCACAAGTTTACATCTGGCAGACCCAAGTTCAACATCATTGCTCAACAAACACTAGACAGGCTATGTCCAAGGATTCTGCATCAAAATCTACTATTACTGGGAAAAAAGATAGCCGAGTAAAAGTCATAATTCCAGATCCCTTAGGGAAAAGACTAGAACTATGTCTGGTACATAGGAAGCTATCAGCAGACATTCGTTCACTTAAAGGAGTGATTTTACCTGCAAAACTAGACATTGAAGTGATTTTAGCTGTAAAACTAGAAATTGAGGATTGGTCTGAAGTTGGTGAAAACTTCAACATGAAAGCTTTTAGCTTCCAGTAGAATGTGAGGAGAATCAATAGGCAAACGATACTCTTAGAGTGTTGGCATGCCACCATATTATACCTTTTACAGTATTTTTACTTTGTAACTTAATTCAAGAACTCGCTATTCTTTTTTTAATTCTTTTTTATTTTAATTTACATTTAATCACATTTATCTTTACAGTGTACAACATTGCTTTTCCCAGCATGAACACCATGCATATCAGTCAAAATAAAGACATCACTATATACATTATCATCATCAAGAGGAAAAAAAAAGTACTTTTCTGAGAGTTTTTTTGCTATAAGGCGTGTGTGCTCTCCAGAAAGACAGAGAGAGACAGAGAGACAGAAAGTGAGAAATCCCCCCCAAGAGATTGTGGCATTCTCCTCCATTCTTCTCCATTCTTCTCTCGGGATCTTGGGCACGCACACACATGAGCCCTGCATGAGTGTAAGCCACCAGGTTTGAGACTCAAACCGTGGTCAACTACATGGGAGTCGAGCGACATAGCCATTAGCCACCTGCTGGTCCCCCCAAAATACATTTAATTGACAAAAGAACTCCCTATTCTTAAAATGTGACTATTATGGTTCTGTTTTTTTAAGTAGTTATTTTTCTTGAAATATTTAAAAATTCTGTTTAATGTACATAAATCAAAATCTCTTGAGTCAGAAATTATGCCTACTTTTTGACTATGAGGATACTTAAGTATTATCTTAAATAATAAATGACCTACTTTCTAACTAAACCTATCCTCTATTTCCCAATGGAGTTCAATTAAATATAACACTTGCTTTACGAAAGTGATTCTGGGGACCAGTAGATGGCATAATGGTTACATCACTGGACTCCCACATAATCGACCAGAGTCTCAAACCTGGAGACTTAAAACTCACGCCAGGCATGTGTGCCTGCGTGCCCAAGATCCAAAGGGGAGAATTGAGAAGGGATTTCAACATGGCCTTCTCCCCCAGAGGGGGGTGGTGATTTCTCACATTCTGTCTCTCTGTTTCTCTCTGTCTCTCCAGTGAGCACACATCTTATAGCAAAAATCTCTCTAATAAAAAAAGTGATTTCTTGGGAACCAGCAGTTAGCGTAATGGCTATGTCGCTGGACTCTCACGTAGTCGACCGCGGTTCACATCCTGGACCCGGTGGCTTAAAACTCACGCCAGACTCGTGTGCATGTGTGCCCAAGAACCCGAGAGGAGAATGGAAGAGAAGGGATTGCGGCATGACCATCCCCTCTGGGGGGGGGTGTGTGATTTCTCGCTTTCTGTCTCTATGTCTCTCTCTGTCTGTCTGGCGAGCGTATGCGCCCTATAGCGAAAACTTCTCCAAAAAAAAAAAAAAACAAATGATTTCTTTTTCCAACAAACTTTGCTGGGACCAATAGGATGCTTTAAGTGAAACATTCATATAATAGGCAGCAGATTCAGTCCCTAAGAAGACAGAAAGCTTTTGGCATGCCTGTAGGAATCTGGTTAAGACACTAAAAGAAATTTAAGATCACCAAAACAGTGGTGCATTTTTCCCCCTGGGGAAGAGGAGATGCAAAAGTCCTAAATTTTCCAGAGACAATGTCTTAGGTGATGAGGAAGAGGATGAAATCCTGGATCACTTGTACATTTAAATGGATGGACAGTTAATCAGTTGGACTTTCCATACTTAGCCCACAGCACTGCCAAGTAATGCTCCTGGTTTGAACTGGGAACTATTACTGATGGCCCGTGCAGAGGGACATCTTGCAGGTGTGTGGGTCCTGTGAGTGCCCAGGGGTGTGCTTCTACGAGGCCACCAGCTGGTCAAAATATGCAGAAGCAAGGCTGGAACCAAATGAGGAAAAGATAGGTTGGTAATTTGGGGGAAATGCAGAGAGAGAGGGGTGCACAGAGTAAAGGAGGAATAATGACAGAGGCTTCCAGGGGCAGGGCTAGAACATCAGGTTCACCCCAAATGCTCTCTTTGAGAATGCCACATTTCTTATGAGAGTCAGGAGAAGAAAACATTAGGTGGAGGAGCTGTGAAAAAGTAAACACTGTGGGTAGAGGAGTCTGAAATGAGACAAATTCCTGGTGTAATCAATCTGGGAGGGGACGAGAAGAATTTCAATTACGGTGCTCCTCCCCGCTCCTCCCCTGTCGTTCCCAAACACACACTCACCAGCACATTCGGTGGCACTTGGAACCCAGACAATTGGGTTGGAAAGTATTTGTAAAATCTAATTTACTTAGTCCCTTTGTGTACTTTGTATGTGTCCCTCATTTTAGACAATGGAAAGACATTTTTCACTTACTTCTCCTGTGTTTTACAGATGACACAGGCAGCTCTGCCTGGGTTCTCAGCTGCAAGGGGAAATCTCACTGCTTTTGATTTTCAGCAGGCGTCTCTCTGTGGCTTAATGATACTGAAATGTGTTGTCATGGTGGTGGTGGTGATGGTTTCTCCCTGGGATTCTGGAGAACCATGGCCTCTGGAGTCTAGCCCACTTGGGAAGAACTGCAGGAGAATGCCACAACTGCAGGAGCTGGAACCATGGGAGGCCAGGCAGTTACAGCCATCTTTCCTTGCTGACCCTCTCCAGCACTCACAGCATTATATCACTGGTATTGAACCACATATTGCTGGATCTAAATTATGAATTATTTACTGTGTATCAGTCTTCTTTTCGTGTCTGGATTACTAGCTTCATGAGGGCAGGGATAATGCCAAGAGCCAACATGCCTGGAGTTCGTGCTGGGAGCCAAATACTACACAGAATGCAAGTGATTCATGTGACCACCTCACTAAATCCTCACAAAAACTCTACTGATTAAGAAGGTACTATCTTGAGACCAACAGATGGTGTAATGGTTACAACACTAGACTCCCATGTAGTTGATCGCAGTTCGAGTCTCGGATTTGGCAGCCTAAAACTTAAGCTGGGTGCATGTGCATACGTGCCCAAGATCCTGAGAGGAGAATGGAAGAGAAGGAATTGTAGCATGGCCATCCCCCTCGGGGTGGAGGGCAGTGATTTCTTATTTTCTGTCTCTCTGTCTCTGTCTCTCTGGGGAGCACACATGCCCTATAGCAAAAATCTATTTAAAAAAAATGTACTATCTCCATGGTATAGATGAGGAAACTGAGGCTCAGTATGTTCAAGGCCATTCAGCCAATAAACAGTGGTACCAGGATAAGAAATTAACATGTATGTGTGTGTATATGCACATACATATAAAGTTGACCCTCTATATGCATGAGTTCCACATCCACTGATTCTACTAACCATGCATACAAAAAGTAGTTGAAAAAAAATTGATTGCATCTATATTGAACATGTAGAGAGTTTTCTTAGCATTATTCCCTAAACAATACAGTATAACAATGATTTCCATAGCATTTACATTATATTAGGTATTAAAAGTAACCTAGAGGGACCAGCAGTTAGCATAATGGCTATGCCGCTGGACTCCCACGTAGTCAACTGCAGTTCGCGTCCTGGACCCAATGACTGAAAACTCATGCCAGGCGCATGTGTGTGCATGCCCAAGATCCCGAAAGGAGAATGGAGTAGAAGGGATTGTGGTGTGGCCATCCCCTCTGGTGGGGTGTTTTCTTGCTTTTTGTCTCTTTGTCTCTATCTGTCTGGCAAGTGCATGCACCCTATAGCAAAAACCTCTTAAAAAAAAAAAAAGGAACTTAGAGATGATTTAAAGTATTCAGGAGGATGGGTACAGATTATATGTAAATATTATGCCATTTTATATGAGGAACTTGATTTTTAAACATTTTAAAAATTTTGTTATTATTATTCATACATTAAATCACTTAGATACATCATTTAGATTGTGAAGAGACTTTACCCGGGATTTTGGTATTCAAAGGGGCTCCTGGAAGCAGTCCCCTGTGGATACTGGGGGATGGTTGTATATGAATAGATAATATAAACATAAAATATATCGGCAGTAAGTTTTCCTTATTTCTAAAGCTGGAGTGGTGATATTTGCTTGGACTACCTCAAAGTGATGTAAGAGGCGCTAATATCAAAAAGCTGTCTAAGCATTTGAGCAATGCAGGGGTGGTCTCTTTCCATTCTGATCTCCAGCCACACATGCAAGCCCACTTTATAGGTGATGTTCTGAAGACCTCCCATTCTCCAGTGAAGGAAGGTATCCTTCCAAATGTATTGGTCTCCTGCTCTGTTTTGTTATTGAAGACACTAATTATAAAGAAGGTGTATGTTCATTTATTTGACAGATGCTTGCCGAAGATCTGTAAGGAGCTGTCTGTGAAAAAGAATACACAGAAATATAAAACGTGATTGCAGGCCAGCCTCACAGTGCACTGGTTAAGTGTTGTGCACCAGGAGCTGTGTGTGTGTGTGTGTGTGTGTGTGTGTGCCCGTGTGTGGGCACACCCCAAATTCGAATGGGAAGGAGAAATGGAAGAAAAAAGATTGCAGTGTGACCATACCCCAGTGACTGACGCTCACTCCTTTCTCTCTTTCTTTTTCTCTCTTGCTAGTGCACATGCCCTCTGGCAATTAAAAAACTAAAACAAAAAACAAAACCCCAAATACATGATCCTGGCCTGTCCTCAAAGGATTTAAGGTCTCATTTGAAATACAAAACAAACTTTATAATGGATGTGTTATGAAGGACAGTGGGGAGACCTGAGCCAGGTGTGGGCTTTGAGAATGGAAGTCCCTAGTGTGGAAGTAGGATAGTAAGTACAGTGGGAGAATGGTCCAGGCCTGGCAACTGATCAACCATGAGGGGGGCAATTGAAAGGAACTGGAAGACGTTCAGTGCCTTAAAAACACAGAGAGGGGTTCATGAGAAGAGTCCTAACCCAGGGGAAAGTAATGGATACAATTTTAGATATACAGATTTTAAAGTGATACTAGAACAGCCAGTGGAAATACCTGGGCAGTCGTAGAGTTTGGGGTATAGAATGATCCACGTAAAGAAGACAGAGTATGTCAAGTTCACCAGGAAAGAGGGGAGGGACAGAAGATAAATGTTCAGGGAGTGAGTTGAGCTAGTCCTCATTTAAAGGACAGGAAGAAGAAAGATACAGAAAGCATTCCGTAAGAGTGAACAGAATGTGGCTCCTGACAGTTAACAGCCATTAAACTGCACTTCATGAACCAAACACTAGTCACTGTCCGTCCAGTCCTGTAACCTAGAACTCTCACACTAAGGACTGGGAAAGACGGAACAGCAGGGAAAGTAGTCTGGATGCCAACTTCCTGAAGGCTCAGACTCTCACACCTGCAGACCTGCAGGGGCCCTGTGGGTGATGGCACCAGCACTTCTGGAATGGCTAACTACTTTGCAGTTGTCTGTGCCCATGTCTGCATGCCTATTCCTTCCTTCTTCCTTGCTATTCAGGGCAGTGAAGTGCTCAGACCCAAGTGTGGTGCTTGCTTTTGCTGACCCCCTTGTAAGTAAGGGTGCACCCTGAGACCCAGCTCTGGACAATGGGGTGCAAGCAAGAGCTGCTGGAAGCCATGGGAAGACTCTCGCCTTCTCTCATGAAAGACTCTGTTTCTTGTACCTGGACATATTTCTCCTTTATACGGTGTCCTTTACCTTTTCAGATCCACCGTGGTGACATTGAACACGACTCCTTTCAGCCAAAGGATCATAAAGAGACGTTGAGAGAAAGGACAGTTGCCAATGCTTTCGCCATCAATTCCAGCCTAGAAAGAAGAGAAACACAGTTCTGAGTTGGTGTGTAAATTCTAGCAAGAAGGAATGCAGGACTGTGGCACTCAAACACTGGAGAACATGCCAACACCATGTCCCAGCCTTGGAAAGCAGTAGCCCTATGTTACTATTATTCATCATCGTCTTTCTATTGTCCATGCAGAGTAATGACTGGCACCACGCAAGGGCTCAATGAATACTCACCGAACTGAAATAGAGTTTCCAGGAAGGTGATTTTATAGAATTGTAACTTTCTAAAAGCACAGAACCCTAACATCTCAGGGTAAAAAGAGACCTCTGAAATCACATAGCCTAACACAAAGAATGCTGGAACGCCAACTCCTACACCCCCATAGAATTATCTAGTCTGTGTTTGAGTATCTCTACTGCCCAGTAATCTACAGCTCTCAAAGTAGTCTGCCCTAAGGATCACTCTAACAATTAGAAACTCTTTGCTTAGGCTTTACCTGGTCAAAATATGTTCTCCTGTAATTTACCCTCTTATGACCCTGTGGTCTTTGCTCCTGAGACTATCATGAGTACAAATACCTTAGACTTGGATCCTATCTCCCTATATCTAGGCTAGCCAGTAGGCTCAGGACTAACCAACATGCCATTTAGTTATGAACAGCACTTGGCCTTCATCATCAAAAAACCATTCATTTGTTGGGAAACAGCAGTTAGCATAATGGCTATGTCACTGGACTCCCATGTAGTCGACCGCAGTTCGCGTCCTGGACCCAGTGACTTAAAACTCATGCCGGGCGCGTGTGCATGCGTGCCCAAGATCCCGAGAGGAGAATGGAGGAGAAGGGATTGCGGCATGACCATTCCCTCTGGGAGGTGATTTCTCGCTTTCTGCCTCTATGGTGGGCCAGCGCCCCCCCCTTTATGGGAAAACCCTCCAAAAAAAAAAAAAAAAAAAAAAACAAACATTCATTTGTTAAATGATCCTTTTACTCAACAAATACATATTGATTATCAATTATGTGCAAGGAACTGGAGAAAACTGGCCAGGAGATTAAAACAATGCATTTCCTTGGGCTAGCCCCACGAGTGATTAAGGCACTAGACTCCCACATGCGTTACTGCAGTTTGTCGCCCAAACTCAGTGGCTTGAAAATCACACCGGGCATGTGTGGTTCATCCCCAAAATCCCAAAGGAAGACTAGAGGAGAAGGGATTGCAGTGTGGCCCCCTCCCCCCAGTGAGTGATTCTCACTTTCCCTCTCCCTGTCTCTCTGTCTCTCTGAGAAGCACACACACCCTATAGCAAAGATCAAATAAATAAATGCATTTTATCAAGGAGCTTATGGCCTTCTGTGGAGGTGGATCAGGGGATAAGACAGGAACACACATAAAAACAACAGATAATATTATCAAGTGCTTACATACTTCATTCTCATTTTCCCTTCTCATTACTCTCCTCAAAATAACAGGTATTTTGGGACCAGCAGTTGGCATAATGCTGGACTCCCATGTAATCGACCACGGTTCGAATCCCAGACCCCGGGGCTTAAACTCACGCCAGGCATGTGTGCATGCGTGCCCAAGATCTGGAGAGGAGAATGGAGAATGGATTGCTGTGTGGCCATCCCCCCTGGGGGGTAATTTCCCACTTTCTGTCTCTCTGTCTCTCTCTTTCTGGCAAGCACATGCACCCTATAGCAAAAACTTCTCCAAAAAGAAAAATAAATAGCAGGTATTTTTATGACTGAAAGATGAGACTACCTTTATTTAACTTTGGAGTGGGCAGAAAGTTATGAGTTCGATAAAGAATCTATTTCAGCCCCAGCACGGGGGCACAGGCGGTGGGGTGCTGCTGTGGTACTAGGGAGGCTCAGTGTTTGAGTCCCTGCATGACCTGAATGCCAGCGTGCTCACAGGTGTGCCTGTGGTCCTAGAGGACTGTGTGGCTGGCAGGCTGAGTGGGCAATCACGGCAGGGCAAGACTGCCAGGGATCTCTTCTCTCTCAATAAACGGTTTTAAAAAGTATTTATTTCAAGTAAACACAAACGAAAAAGGGAGTAACTGATCTCTGTATTCATTTCAGTTGAGGGATTTATATGTCCTGGTCATAGCACTTACAAGGACAGGTACACTCACTTAAGCCTCTGCTGTTAGCTCCCCTGGACACCTTGACCCCTGCCAGAGGACACCACAGGCAGGCCTGGGAAGTAAAGACCCACAGATGCACTTACAAAACTGCAAACAATATCCAACCAGCAACCAGGAGTGGGGCCTTACTAAAAAAAGAAAAAATATATATTTTTTGAAAGAAAAGGAGAAAGAAAAATGTAATCTCAAAGCTCAATGCATTATTTTTCCCTGGAGGTCTGTTTTCTGTGGCGTTCAGCTGAGAGGCAGCCGATGCCTTCTTTCATGCATTGGAGCCTAATTACAGGCTTATTTCTACCTTGTGAATCGCTCCCAGCAGAGGCTCAGGTTTGTAATGGAAAACGGGAGCCTTTGACAGAGTTGGTTGTAGGTAATTGCTATGAAATTACAGTTATTTCACCTCCCTCCTAACTACCCCCTCGAGCCCTGCTCTCTATTCAGTTCTCACTTTTCCCTATTTCTGAAAGAGAGCCACGCCCCAGGCGCTATAGTTGAGACCACTGGGGCTCCGTGATATAAAATGGCAACAGTGGGAGGACACAATGCGGGTGCCACGCCTGCCCACAGAGCTCAGGTTACTGATAAAGCACTGGCAGACAGGCAGCCACCACCCTAATCACAGCATGGGACTACCTAGGGTTTACGGTTCCTAAGAACTAACTCCCTAAGAAGCACTCAACAGGTACTGGGTACTTAGTCTTTGAAGACATCCTGACAAAGGACATTGTCCCCCAAGGCTGATTATAATGTGACCAGCGAAAAGCTAACAAAAGCCAAAACCCAAACCAAAACTACATCCATGCACTATGTATGCTTTTGGTCTGGTGATGATGGTGGAAGGATAAGGGAATTGAAGGAGGGGCTAGAAAAATCCTAGAATTCTTATTAGCTGGACAAAATTTCATATGATGATAATAATAGCAACTAGTGTCTACAGTCAGGCATTGTTCTAAGGGATTTATATGTAGTACTAACTGCTTTATTCCCCATGAGAAGCCTGTGTAGTGGACTGTTATAATTATCATCCCTTCAAGATGTGGAAACTGAGACAGAAAAGAGCGATAGCTGGCCTAATGGTCTCACCATGATAAAGCCAGGATTGAACCCAGGTGGTCTGACTTGAGATCTCATGCTCTTAGTTGGCATGCTTGGAGTCCAACCTAGAGACCCAGCAAGGTAACAGTTTCTCCCAAGCTCACATGACGTATGCCAGGAGGTGACGGTGTTGAATTGTACACAGACAACCTAACCTGCAGTCCGCATGCACCAGCTATGTTAGCGGCACAGCGTGCAGTGCCCTAGCTCCTGTGTTCTCATTACATTATGTACAATTTTACAGTGTCTTAAATTATGAACCTAGGCCTAAACAGAACGCGTCAAATGGCTGGTAGAAATATGTGAGAGCACCTTCACTGTCCTTGCAGCCCTCTTTCTGCTTCCTCGAATCCCTCTGGAACTCACTAGCACTGTGGTCCAGAGAAGCGAGTTATGCTCAAGGGTGAAATGTGGGGAGCTTGTGGCACCTGGAACATCAACAGAGAAGAAACAGGTGGGGTTTGGTGTGACCTCGCATCCCGAAAAGTGTGGGGAAAAGCCTAGAAGAACTTTGGTTCGAAGGGATTTTGAGCAAGGGGACTAGAGGCAGACAGTGTTCCCCCAAATCCAGATTCCCCCCCCCCCAGAGTCTGTGAATGGGATATTATTTAGAGAGTCTTTGCAGATATAAGCAAGTTTAAGATGAGGTCATACTGAATTAGGGTGGGCTCTAAATATGACTTGTGTCCTTATAAGAAGAGGAAATCTGGTTCCAGATATTCAGGGATGATGGGGGTGTGGTGGTGCCTACCCTATGACATAGAGGGATGATGAATGTGGAGAATGGAGTGATGTCTAAGAGCCAAGGAGTGCCGAGGACGCATGATGACAGACACCAGAGATTAGGACAGACAAGGAGGGTCCTTCCCTAGGTCCTTTGGAAAAAATGTGGTCCTGCCATTACCTTGAATTTACTTAATTTTTTAAGAATTATTTATATTTAACTTTATTTATCATTATCATTATTATTTTCAATTTGACTAGAGAGAGACAGAGAAAGAGGGAGAGAGAAAGTGAGAAAGCAAGCCACCAGGTTCGGGACCTGATGGGAGTCCAGTACCTTTAACCACCACACCACCTGCTGGCCCAATACCATGAATTTAAACTCTGGCCTCCAGAGCTGAGAGAGAATAGATTTCTGTTGTTATAAGCCACACAATGTATGGTAATTTGTAGCAGCAATCCTATAAAACGAACGCAAGATGGCAAGTAGCAGAAGGACAAAGGTTAGGAGCAAATTTCCCAAGTTCATGATTCTGCTTGGCACATAGTTGCTAGTGCCAGCCTGTTCCCTAGATACAGTGTATACACCTTGTAAAATACCACATATAATGTTACATACGGTAATATCGATAGTAGTATTCTGTAATTATATAGTTGTATGGCTTTACAGTAGGTATTGTATGCTGAATAATTCATATTATTTGCTATGAGATATTGCCTTTCATGTGATCTCAGTATGGTGAGCTGGGCTCCCCTGAAACGTGGGTCATATTTATTTACTTTGCCCTCAGTAGCAGTAAGCACAGCTGCCCGTAACTTAGATACTCCTGCCTGTTGAAGTGGATGCATGTTGAGGGGCGGGTGTGATCTCTCTTTTAATGGCTTGAGAATCTCTAAATTCTCTCACTGGCATTTCTTAAGAGTCCTGGGGGAAAGGGAGGGAGGGAGAAGCCCGAGTTGTGTAGCATGTTATCACACTACAGCAGGAGACTGTGCTTCTAGACCCGTCTCTGCCTCCAATTCACCTTGAGACCAGCCTCAGGCAGCTAAGTCATT